GAAAAGGAAATTGAACATAAATTAGGCTTCACCCAACACTGCAAATTACTTTAAAACCAAAGCATCAACCTGAAACCTTCAGTCATATTCTTATTCTTGTCAGATTGAAACTTTCATATGAATGGCATGAATGATGCCAAACCTGTTCAGAAATATCTAAACTGTCAGTTATATACAACTGCTTTCTATGTTCAATGGTGAAAAAAGCTTTGAGCAAGTGAAGGCTGAGGGTCTTGGCAAAGATCATCCTTCTTTGAATGTTGTGGACTGGCAATACAGAATTACAAATAACTGTATCAAATAAGAGAAACCACATCACCCGAGGACTTCCAACAGCAGCAATGACTAAAATGGATATCACATGTAATGCAAAGAGAAAATATCAAGATGTAAACATTTCACACTTCCTCAAATAAAAGTTTAGGAAGGAAAACCCTATAAATATAGGAAAGAGCAATAACAGTTACTGGAAGTGAGAAACCTGTTTTCCTGAATAATTGTTTCAAGAGAAAGATTTTATAAATTTCAGCTGAAAGCAGTACTGGCTGCTCAGTCAATGAATGTCAAATGTTTTTTTGTAGGGAAATGGTTAATATTACCATTACCATTCCATAGAACCACATTTCTATTGCTTCAAGTTTCTTCTTCATCTGTGATGAGATATTCCAATGTTCACTGCCATATTGCAGGATTGATAATACATAACAGTTCATTTGCTTTAAGCCATTTTAATCATTTATCTGAGAAAATGATTGTATGATAGTTTAAACATTTTTGAAGGAGGTGATGCCATGCATGACATCCACATGAGAGTCTAGATCTAATAAAGCTATTTAAGAGCAGGACTTGGATTCTCAGGGTAATATTTTGGTTTTGTAGTATCTCATCACATGATATTTTACATGATATAAATTATAATAGACTACTTTGACATTCATTGACTGCTATAATTCCACTCCAAAACATCACTTTGCTTTGTAGTTTTCACAATTATCCATCCAGATTTGTTCTATTCATTTGACTCATGAAATGGCATTTGTTAATGAAAAAACAGTTGAAAAATGAATCGTTTTGTATTTTATTTTATTCAGTTTTCCTTATGGATATGTTTTTTTGGAGGCTTAGTGATTTGTCCTACATGTTTTTCTACTTGATTTAAGACCCAACATCTTGTGGTTTTTGACACTTCCGAGCTACCACAATGCTTAAAATTTAATATCTTGACAAAGATTGATATAATTTCCTCTTCATATTGGACACAAATCCTCAACTTGTCCTTATTAGACTTCTATCAAAATCATCCAGGATCTTTAGCAAATTTCTTCACAGTTTGGTGATATTTATTGAACAATTTTGAGCATTGTTTTACAAGCTCTGTACATAAACATTTCTCTTTATCTGTCAAATCAGTTTTATAAGTATTTATTAAAGCTTCAAACTTGCAATATAGCTATTAATTTGAGATTTTGAAAGGAGATTTCATACAAATAGTTGGTGTTTGTTTACAGCTGTGTAGAATAAACTGATTTTCATCTGAACTAAACAAACAAATGTTCTCATCATTTAGAAAAAGAACTTTACTTTTCCAAAAATATTTATCTTCTCCATCAATAAAACATGAAGTGTCTTAGAATATTAGAGGTTGTGTGTATTAGAGGTTGTGTGTGTATATCATTAATATAATGTCTTACAGTGTATATACTTGATGGCTGAGACTTGATTTCAAGTAATGTCATTGCTTTTTTTATTTTCAAATATGAGCAGTGTGGTTATGGATTTTTAGTTATGCTAGGCTTTTACATTCTTTTGTGCATATGCAAAATATATAAAATATGTAAATACATACACACACCTATCTATGCCTCACTGTTAATATCTATCTCAGTTTATTTGTATCTATCTATATTAGTCTATTCATATATATGTATCTATCTATCTCGGTTTATTCACATCTATGTATCTCTCTCTCTCTCAGTCTATTCATATCTATCTCAATCTGTTCATAAATATCTCAGTCTATTTATATCTATGTATCTATCTATCTATCTATCTCAATCTGTTCATATCTATCTCTATCTAGATAGATTAAACTAGATTATTACAATATCTTACTTTTTTTAACTGACCCACACAGAATTGACAACCATAGACATTCACTACACACACTTACACGAGAATATAAAAATCCAACCAAATACAAAATCATTGCAACATATCGCTACATTTCAGCAACATATCATTACATTTCACTAACATCTATAGACAGTCATCATACATACACTTATACAATTACATGAATTAATGTTACTGTCCGACATACACTTAGACACACAAGTGTTTCTTTACTTACATACTCTTACACTATCACACACTTTAATGTCCAAAATGTTCCTCACACATATTTATATATTATCTATTGTGTTTATACATGTGATGCATGTCTAACCAAAGAGAACTAACCAAAAATCCTAACGTTCCAGTACTCTGTCTCTTTGCTTTTTCATTTCTATTCTCAATCTCTGATGAAGCCTTAATAAAGGAGAAACATGTTAGAGACATGTTTCCTACTTGTTCTTTATTTTATTTTATCATCTTGTCGGATTCCTATCCAGATCTGATCTACATTTGATCTTCAATTCATATTTATCTATTTACAAATATAAGATAACACACAGTAAGTGTTGGTGGTAATAAAACAGTGCTCAATATATAATAAAAATTTAAACTTACAATAAATATACATTTTGTTTCTCAAAGGTGTATCATGTATATGTGTATCTTTTGCATTAGGCAATAATTAATTTGCAAAATTAATATATAATTGTATATATGTATGTGTATATATACATGTGCATATGTTTTAAAACACACTTAAATTATGCTATCATTTCAAGAATTAAACACACACATACACAGTTGCCATAAAGTAAACATGTGATAACCACAAAAACAGACACATACATATATATATACTAACACCATAAAATGAACATGTGATGACTATCCAACCAATGAAAAAAAAAAACACAAAATTTTAAAAATTGGAACAACTCTACATTATTCCACTTTCAAAGAATTTCTGATGAAGCTAAATAAATAGGGAAACATGTTAAATTTATAAAGGTTTCTCTACTAATTCCTTATTTAATCATATATATTTTTATAAACAAAATAATCTCTTTGCATTAGAATGCAATTAATTCATAAAAGTTATTGATCTATCTGTACCTATATTTGTATGTATATATGAAGGAGTGTTGAAAAGTGAACCTATATCCCAAAATCTGACCAAATGGGCAGACATTAGACTTTATTTTCTTGGTCAGGCTTAATACTCTTCAGCACCACATTATATATAACAAATGTTTATTTGTGCTCTCCTCGTTTCTATACTTGACTTAAGTTTATTGTTGTTTGAGTCTAAGGCAAATTAGTAAAATTTTTGTTAATTTTTATTCTCCTAATTTTTACATTTTTGCACTGTTTATGGCAGGCAAGCTACAACAACTGATAGGTAAGAAATTAAACAAATTCTACATCGACAACAGGGAGAGCAGTTTTGATGCAGACAGGTAACAATGAAGAAAATCTAAAATAGAGGGAGAGAGATTTAGGCAAATTTTAAGTGGTCTACAAAAAGAAATCAATAAAAAAAATCAAAACTAGATTGAAAGAATTCTTTTTAAAGATTGAAGCTGTCAATAACTGAAGATACATGATATGAAAAGTTTTTATTGTGAAAGAAGAGGAGAAGAGAAGAAAAATCATTCTTAAAAAAAAACGTTCTTTAAAAGACGAAAACAAGGAAAGCCAGTGATATCCTTTTCTTTCAATATAATAAAAAGAGAAATATTTAATTTTTATTTTTTTTACATTATTCACATTCAGATTAGTATCACCTTTGTTGTTATTATCATGTTTTAGCTTTCATGCTCACCAGGCTTTGTCAGATGTCTAAAAATCTGGTTATTCATCAGAGAAATTTGAATTGAACCCTTTATTTAATCTACAGAGATAGGTTGTTCTCATTCTGCTGTCAATATCTAGGGATATCTCATCTTGTTCTGATTTTTAGCATTGCTCAGTTATTACATGTCTTGTTTCCACTGAGTCTAAGTCTGCACTACCCAACCTAGGGATTGAACTCACAATTATTATATCCCCAAATTCGTAAAACAACACTTTCAGTCACTATGTTATTGTCCCATACTGGAGTGCACAGCAGCCAAAATATGATAATAATAACAAAGATGAGGATATTAGTCCAAATATAAAAAATGTAAATAATGATAACTCCTTGAAGATTGGTATATGCAATAAACAACCGAAGAACTCTGAAATGTCATGATAAAGGTAACACAGATAAGGATATTAGTCCAAATAATTCATAGAATGATGAAATGTTTAAATTGAATGATGAAATTTCTCAAAATCTAATAGACTAAATCGGCAAAAGTTAATAATCTCGACTTTGACTTAACTCCGACAATGTCCTGAATCAAGAGAGATAGGAATGAAGTTACATTAGAAGAAATGAGAAGATGATACCTAAATTTTTATGTACTCAAGAACATATATTTAAATTTTTCTAAATGTGTTTTGGGTATATAGCCTAATAATAATTAAAGATAATTTTATAACAAAAGTGATAAAAACATCAAGAAAAAGAAAGTCATTATCCATTACACACATCAAAACTTGCAGCACCTTGTATTCCCAAGCAGTCACCAATCAGGCTTGACATTGCTTAACTTGACTGATTTTTTTTTTACTGCTTATCAACCCTTTGCAGGTTATTTAAAGTCAGAAAATATATTTTTAGATTGTAAGAATTTTTTCTGTTGAGATAATAATGATTTAGTGATACAAGTTTTATTAATTAACTCATAGCTGAGAGGAGAGGAGGTGTACTGATATCTTTCTCAAGGTTATTTGCAAGTAACTGGGACTCATTTTGCTAATTAACAATTTTGAGTCATTATCCATTACACACATCAAAACTTGCAGCACCTTGTATTCCCAAGCAGTCACCAATCTAGGTACTGACCAGGCTTGGCATTGCTTAACTATGGTGATCATATAGGAACCAGTGTTTCAAT